CTCTCTCTCTCTCTTGGTTCCCCCCCCTCGGGCCTTCCCACGGCCTTCTCTCTCTAGACCAGGGACGTCACTTTCGAGGCCACGGGCACAAGGAGGAGATTCGATGATCAATGGCAGCAAGCAAGGTATTGTCTTTTCTGAGGTTCTTTTCTTTTTTTTTTTTCCAAATAAGCAACGTATATTTTCTGTCATCCTGTTGGTCACCCCTAAATTCGCTAACCGTGGGAAAAAAAAGGGGGCAAGTTCTGTTATGTCACGAAAACGTGTTTCAAAAGGGCAAAAAAAAGAACTCCCGGCAACAAAATCGGCACTGAGTTTGAAAAGGCGATAAAAGCATCACGGCGGTTTGTGAAAAGCGCGGATTTCATAACTAGAGTATTCGGGCCATGGTGTGAAAACAGGAGTAGTTTAAGAATAAAAATAAAAACGACAAAAAACAATTTCCGCTATTTTTACCGAAATTGCCTTTTCGAACTCGGCGCCTGATTTCGTTGCCGGCGCATGTATTTTTTTTTTCTTGCCCTTTCACAACTCAGAATGTGACGCGGCTGCACTTGTTTCCAATTCGCAGCCAAAGGCTGCGTCTTAACCCGTTGCACTTTGTCGTGTAGCGGGGCTTTCTTTTTGAGGAAATGTAGACGACCTGTAAAGGGTTTTCTGGGGCGTCGACAAGGTGCACGGTCGGGGGCAGGGCACAGACCGTTAGGCCAAACAGTCGACGCAGAGGTTGGAGCGCGGGCGACCAACAGTAGGTGGCATAGGTTGTTCTCTGGTGGCGGCGGGCGTCGCCTGGCCTTTCCTTTTTGAGGTTGGCTGGCCTTCGTTTTTGAGGTGGGCAGGTTTTTTTGGGGGGTTGTTTTGGGGCGGGCGGGGTTTTGGTGGGATGGGATGGGTGGCATTTTTTTGGTGGGAATTCGCGTTTGCTGGGCGGTTCGAATTGAAATTGCGTCGGGGTGAAGCAAATGGTGGCGGGGCCGGGAGGAAAGGAGGCGGCAGTGGACGCATCATCAGGCGAGTCAGAGGGCATTGCCACACCACTCTCGAAATTTTGCAAACTGGGAATGAACTTCCCGCTAGAACATGGCCAGATGCACCCGCCACATTTTTTGTTCTTTTTTTCACATTCTGAGAGTGGTGTGGCGAGGCCCAGAGTCGACAGCGGTCGATCGATGGTGGTGGAGGCAGAAGGAGTGAGAAAAGTGCCACCTCGCCGGCCCTCCTCCTCGCTCCCGATTGGCTGCGCTCCTGCGCCATGCGCGGTACACAGTAAAAAAAAAAAAAAAAGGTCTCTCTTACAAATTTTGAGGTAATAACTTATAAGGTTAGCCTCCAGGCACCCATTAAAATTGGAATGATCTCTCGGCTATGTTGTCTCATACTGTGTCTAGAAGGGGTTCAAGTTTTTTGGGTAATACCCCTTTTATAATATCCCCTTGAGTCCTTGTCCATTCTTTTTTTTTTTTTTTTTTTTTGGTGGCGTGAGTAGGTAAAATTTGGATAAATGGTGCCATTCTTTGGGGGTAGAATTCAGTACTACCGTGTTCACCCGAACAGAACACCCTGTCAGTATCGCCGTATCTGGATGGAAAGTTGCCCCAAATACGGCTATAATGACCGGTCGTTCTATTCAGGTGAAGATGGTAGGCAGCATGTCGACCAGTACCGTTATTTTCAACGAATATTTAGCATGTCTTGCTGCACTTCGTGCCTGCCTTCGGTGGCGGCGGATGTCAACGAAATACGGAATAGGACTTAGACGGTGCACCATAAACCATGCCCAAATAGCCAAACACAGGCTTGTAGTTTGTCTAAGTAATCAGGTACTACTGTAGCAGAGCAGTGTGCAGCCAATTGTTTATTCTCCCTTAGTTAATTGAGCAACCAACTCTATTTGTGGTGCCAAGTGGCAGCAGCTAGATACTAGAATGTACATCTGGCAGCAGGTGGTGGTCCCCACCAGTAGCTGAGAGTTGAGAGGCTTCTGTAGTGTCATTTCATATGAGAGAGAGAGAGAGAGAGAGAGAGAGAGAGAGAGAGAGAGAGAGAGAGAGAGAGAGAGAGAGAGAGAGAGAGAGAACAGGCTAGACTGCTGGGGTGGAACATGGGGGAAAAGACGGTGACAATCCGTCGAAAGACTCAAAACAGTCTGCCTCTTTTCTTTTTTCTTCTTGTCCCCGCCTGGAGCTCTGGATAGCGGATATGAGCACACACACACGCTAGTGCTGCGTTTGACTTGCAATGGCCCATGAAATATCTCTCTCTCTCTCTCTCTCTCTCTCTCTCTCTCTCTCTCTCTCTCTCTCTCTCTCTCTCTCTCTCTCTCTC